TTATTAGGAAGGGAATTGAAAACAAATCAGCCAGTATCATAATGCCCCTGTATAAATTGATGGTGCGACCTCATTTGGAGTACTGTTCTGGTCACCACACCTCAAAAAGGATATTATAGCATTGGAAAAAGTGCAGAAAAGGACAACTAGAATGATTAAAGGGTTGGAACACTTTCCCTATGAAGAAAGGTTAAAGCGCTTGGGGCTTTAGCTTGGAGAAATGACGGCTGAGGGGTGACATGATCGAGGTTTATAAGATTATGCATGGGATAGAGCAGGTTGAGAAAGAAGTACTTTTCTCCCTTTCTCACAATACAAGAACTCGTGGGCACTCCATGAAATTGCTGAGCGGTCGGGTTAGAACAGATAAAAGGAAGTACTTCTTCACCCAAAGAGTGATTAACACATGGAATTCACTGCCACAGGAGGTGGTGGCAGCTACAAACATGGACAGCTCCAAGAGGAAATTAGATAAGCATATAGAGCAGAGGTCCATCAGTGGCTATTAGCCACAAGGTATAGATAGGAACTCTAGTGATGCTCTGTATTCTTGGTGCTTGGGGGGGGGGCAACAGTGGGAGGGCTTCTAGTGTCCTGGCCCCACTGCTGGACCTCCTGATGGCACCTGGTATTTTTGGCCACTGTGTGACAGAGTGTTGGACTAGATGGGCCATTGGCCTGATGCAACATTGGCTTCTCTTATGTTCTTATGTACTGTGGGAAATACACAGGGAGGGAGGGAGGGTGGAGAGGGAGGGAGAGCTGGCAAGGTAACGTGTAGGGTTACCAGCAAATCAGAAAGCGGGCAGGATGCAGCGCGTGGCACAGCATGACTTTATGGAATGTATTAAAAATTAATTTTAAATAATTAAAAAAATTATTTCTAGCAGCCTGGCCTTGTGGGGCCTCGCTGATGCATGATGGGGCCAGTCCCTGAGGGGCCCTACCATAGCTACAGGCCTGGTCCTATCACTGAGTGGAAGCCGCACAAAAGGCATCTGCACTTACATGGTGTTTTGCCAGCTCCACCTCAATGACCTTTGGGTCGCCGTTGATGGGCCTCTGGGCATCCAACAGTTCTTCTGTGTGTGTCAGCCATGCCACCAGTTCGGCCAACGCGTGTTGAAACTGTCCGAGGGCCAACAAAGCGCCTTCCAACTTGTGCTGTTTGTAGAAGAAAAAGTAAGAAGAGCAATTTTTTCTCCATCTTTTGATCATCATCACCACCGCTGCAAAGAGTGCTTTATAATTTAAAAAATATTACATGTATAACTGGGACTTTGCTCTTACACAGTATTCCAATAATTTATCCTTTCATCCATGTTTGACAAAAAGAGACAGCTCGTATTCCTTTCAATGAATTTGTGCATGCTGTATCAGGCAATGCACGTTCCAGCAATCCCTAAAATTTTGTCATGTGCCCTTTTAATCCAGGTATCCAAAGTGATTTTCATAACCTAACAGTGTTGGAACCGTAACTACGAAACTCATCATAACTAGTCTGTTACTTCTGCTTATGCCTGACAAAATTTGTGTGTTCTCAACTGTATCAATGGTATTTAGGAACATGTCCCAAAACACTGAAGTTTTTGACCACCACCAGGCATATTCAAAACCTAGGCCAGTTTTAGAACTTTTCCAGCATGCAGATGTGTTTAATACTTACATATTACATAGTTCTTGAGATATAGTATTTTAAATTGTGCTTACTTTAGATTCAAATCCTAACACCAAGGAAAAATGATCGTGTCCTTGACTGGCTAGATTCCAGGCCGATCCTGTTAAATCTACCATAAGTACTGTTTCCTATATTGACTGCTGTTTTCTATATGTTATCTCATAATTGGTCATTGTCTTTCCTATAATAATTATTTCCTGTAATCATTGTTGTTTTCAATAAAACCCTATGTACCTTTGAGACAAAAATTGCAAAAGAAAGTCTAACAGGAAAATGTCTAGTATGTAAACAGAGGAGGCCTGCAACTATTCATTTGTAAACACACTTCCTTCTATGTTCTGTAATTCCTTCCCCAACCAGATCCTCAAACAGCCTCTTTTTATCCATTCTGTGAATGTTCAGATTACGTGATCTGGATTACAATATTGATTCTAAAACTGGTATTCCTGCGTCAAAGTGTATTTTTATCATTTTTCCTGGTTCTTATAATCTCACAGGGAATAATTATATCTGTAATGAACTGCTTCTTGTATTTTTGTTAACCCACAGTTCAAGAGGAGTTGCTATCCCCTCCTGCTCCATATGAACCCACTGGCTATTTTTCCCCAGTTAAAGCCAGCTTTTAACCAAGTTAACTGAATTGCTTACTATGTCACCTTGGGGTTTGGAGTGGCTACTTCCCTATCATTCCCAACCCGTTTCTAATTTTGCAGAATTAAAAGAACTTATGCTGAGTTTTATGTATTATTAAGTGACATACATTTAGTGATTTCTGCTGGCCTACTGAGGGCAGTCTTGAAAACCTAAAGAGAGATACAACTGAACAAGAAATAAAATCTAGGTACAATCCTTTCTGTCAACCCCCCCATCCCCCATTTCTCCTCCCTGAAAAAGAATAACTGCTGCTCTGAGTCTCTTTCTTTCATTTTCCCTTGGCTTTCTTCAGATTCGCTTAATTCCATTAGAAAAACTATTCTTATATCCTCCAAATTAAATCCAAGGCTCTTTCTTTGTTTCCACCTACTTTTAAAATCTTTTCTAGGATCCATGATAAGAAAAAAAATGTTTTCCTTCAGTAAGTTTTATCCATCCGTGGCTATGTAACACAGGATGTAGGGGGAGATCCTCACAACACTAGATCACAAGAAAAGGAACCTGTAATCTACGAATTAGATGCTAATACTCCAAACACACCAGTCATAGCAAACTATAAACGCTATACCAGTGTTTCAGCATGTTCACAAATGACTCTACTAATTATTTAACGATAAGAATTATCAATTTATTTGGCTCACCTTTAATCAATATTGGATTAGACAGGATTTTAGTTTCCTCTTAGTAACACTATTTTAGAAATTAATTAGATCGTTTTAACTTGGATAAATTCCATGCCTCTTTAAAATCAATCATCAATTTCCCCTTAAACCAAGTGTTAAACCTACAGCCCATGGGCCGAAACTGGCCCACCCAGGGCTTTAATCCAGCCTGTGGCTCTCTTCTCCAACCCCCCCACACACACACCTGTCCTCACCCTTCCAAGTGAGATTAGGGCTGCTGAACTTCCCAGCTGGCTGGCCCTTGTCTTTACCTGTTTCTCCTCCAGCAGGAAGCTTCTCTGGGCTAAAGCACAAAAAAAGTTGCAAAGAAAATGCAGAATGGATTTTCCTTTAAGGTCTCTGGGCCCAGACAGACTACTCGGGAACTGGAATGACAGCTCCCAGAGTGGAATGACGGTCCCTGCGAGTAGCAGCTGCATTATGGGAATGGAATTCCGCTCTGGGGGCTGTCGTTCCAGTCCCAGAGTAGTCTATCTGGGCCCAGAAACCTTAATGGAAAATCCATTCCGCATTTTCTTTGCAACTTTTTTGAGCTGCAATGTATTTCAATGAAGTGGAGCTCAAGTAGTTTCAGTTTCGAGTGTTTGTATGTCAGCTGAAGTTCTCTCCTTGCAAATAAAGGGCTGATGTTTTGAGCCAACTTGTCTCTGCTGACTGGACCTGAGAATGGGTGCCTGAGTGAGTACTCTAACCTGGGAACCCACAGCCAAAGGGGGACATTACACTGGAGAGACACTGCCATTCTGAGCAGAGCAGGGGTGGGGGGAGAAGCTTGCAATGCCCAGTCATTTTATGTTTTCCTAGGCTCAGAGCATTTTATATTTTTAGTTTTTATTTTTAGTATCTGCTGTGATCCTTGTACTTTTTCTCGATGTTTTATTTAAAAAATTGCATTGCCAAATCCCACTATCCCCCCACCTTTCCATTTTAGGTAGGCATCTTTTAAGATCGGGGGGTGGCGGTTTGAGAGGTGTCAGTTATCAGAGACTGTTAAATAAACAAAACACGGCATGAGTGTTACCGTTTTAAGCATATTTGTATTTTAAGTTAAAAAAATTAATTGTGTTTGTCAGTGTCCTTTATAAAGTTAATATCTTTGCTACCTGGCATTACATTTTATGACAAACATAAAAGTCCCATTTATGTCAGATCCGGCCCTCATAACAAATGAGCTTGACACCCTTGCCTTAAACCACTATTCATCTGAATTCTGCACGGGTCATGGTTCATTACATGACATTAAACAAACTGATTAAGAAGTTCCAAACAGACCTTAACAGAGGCAACTAAGGGATAAATCATTGGATTCCACATGAACCAGAATTCATTCACACAAAATTAGGTTAGAAGGCTGCTGTCAAGTCACAACTGACTTACGGCTACCCCGGGAAGGGGCTTTCAAGGCAAGTGAGAGAGCTGACAAGTTGGGGCTATACCATGCCACCTTCCCTCTCAGTCCCATATGCACCTTCAGTTGATAGCACACATTAATCCATCAGTTCATAATCCTATTGAGTTTCTTGTTTAGAAGATGAGTTGGTTTAGAGTGGTTATAGATGAAAAAGATTAGTTCATCAGTAAGCCAGTCTCTCTCTTAGCATCTAGAGGAATGGGCACTGTAGTTTATCCTCTACTTTTCCCACCAGGACGGCCTCCTCTTGGAATGGCAGAGAGAGTAAGGAAAAGATCTCAGAAAGTCCAGTGAGGGGAGAAGGGCAGGTGTGTGTGACAGAAAGTTCTGCTGAATGGAGGCTCTGGTTCGCTCTGACTCTTCCCCTTGGCTCTGAATGCAGACTCTGAGGGTCCTCGGCAGCTGCACTCTCAGTGGCTTCCACGGCTCTCCTCTAATGGGATGGAAGCTAGAAGCTCCACCCTACCCACCCCGGCCAAGAAGGCCCCAACTGGAACCAGGGAACCCCCACTCAGCCAGTGGAACAGCTAAAACGGCAACTTCTCTTGCCTAGATCTATCATCCACTGCCAAGAGCCATTTTAAGAACCATCTCTAAACGACAGGCATTCATTTTCTGCTTTGAAATTCTAATTCATTCATTCTATAAGCTGTATATCCCACCGGTCCAGGGCTGCTGGATTTTTGGGCAGCCCACCCCACCCCTGGGGGATTGCCGTACCTGCCTGTGGGCGATTTTCTCCCCCAGGTTCTCCCACAGATGCTTCAGTTCCGTCAGCGGTTCCCTGATGATGTCTCGATCGGTCTCGTCGGTAGCTTTTTTGAGCATCAGCTCCCCCTGATGATTCAGTTTCTCCATCTCAATTTGCTGCTGGTAAACTTCCATTTTGAATTCCTGCCGACGGAGGAGAAAGTCAGGAAACTTTGTTGTAATCATTATTATTATATACGTAACACAATACTAATCAATCATTGAGCGATACATGTAGACATTATACCTCTCAAAAGCTCAGTGAGATAAATGGGCCATAAATAAAGAAGAGAGAAGACAGTCTAATTCACAGTACAGTGAGACAAGCTGAATATAAATGAGTAAATCCTCCCCTCTCCGGCAGCAGCAGTGCCCCGAGGCTCCCATCCAGTCTGGTACACACCTTCATCTCGTTCAGCTGCTCTTTGACGGTGTTGAGGTCGGTGCCCACAGGTGGCATGTTGCAGAGTTTAATCACCGTGTTGTCCAGCCAGTCAAACATAGCCTGAAAATGAACACAGCCACAAATGCAGAAAAACCAGTCGGCTGTCGCCCTCTCAAGGCATGGCAAATGCACTATATATGGAACCAGCTGACACAATTTGAGGTAGCAGGGTTTCTTCCCCCACAACTTAACCTATTTGCAAGAGTATGTTGCTAACCTGAGGTCACTAGAGCTTGGAGAAAACAACTCTGTTAAGTTGGACCAAAGGCCTGTATTCTACTCTAGCAAGCTAGGCAACACAAGCTAGGACCAGGCCCTCCTGCTTTCCCCCAGCATCTGGTACTTGGAAGCACACTGCCTCTGATCATGGAGGTTCCATTTAGCTTGCACAACTCAGAATTGTTGCTAAACCCATACTGACTAATTCAGCTTTGTGCCTGTGGTGCTCCCCTAGTGCCTGATGCAATGGTGGGGGCCTTATTGCAACAGAAACCCTTACTGCCATTAATGCATCGGCCTTAACTCTGCATGTATTCCCCCCCACCCCCGCCACCCTTCATTACCTGCAATGTGTCCTGATACTGCACCGCTGACTGCATGGCCTCCTCCAGCTTCTCCAGTCTCTCCTTCCAGGTTTTGTTCAGGTTTTCCCAAGCACTATTCATCTGCAAGGGCAAGGAGGGAACTGGTGGCCCTGGAGCAGCTAGCAAGCTTAGGACCCAGAGGGCAAGGGAGAATCGAGCACCCAAACATAAAACGCACTGGGGGCAATCTCCCTAGACAACCTGCTTTCTCAGTACAGTGACATGAAAATATTTACCTGGAAAAGTCCTTCAGGGTGACCCTGAGGACTCATACTGGTTTCCAGGAGTGCTCCAGCACTCTCCTGCTAAAGATTTTCCTTGGGTGGGTGGGGGGGCATTATTGCCCTGCCTGCTTTGGTCTTTTGCCCATCTGAATGGTAGATGGGATGAACTGCTTGCTAAGCATGGGCAGGGGGTGCATTCTTTCTTGCTTCCTGCCCTCCCAATCTCAAACGAGACACTGTCTGGAGCAAAAGTATTTGCTCAGGGGCTGTACCCACACAATGTCTCATCTGAATGACAACCCACGCACAACAGGTCCATGACACGCAAATGTTTGCTTCTGGGGGAAACAAAACATTGCATGAGTGTACCTCCCCAAAGATGAATGCATCTGGCCCAGGAATCACCTTGGGTGCAGCGGAAATCAGTGCAGACATTTCTACTCACCTCATCAATGCTCTTCTTCACTTCTGGTTTTTCGGTCTCACCGCAGGCAAAAATCAAATCGGCTCCCAGGATCCGGATGAATTCCAGTTCTTCATGCAAACCATCCGTTTCCTCCTTGATCGTCTATAGGGAAGATCGGAGCAGCAGTGAGCGATGGGTTTAATAGTAAAACTCTACCCCGAATGATGGCTGAACTGTCAGAATGACAGCACATGGTGACAAGCAACCCATGTTTCTTCATGGGGTTAATTTCTACTGAAAGAGGGGGCACAATCTCTGGCACGACTTGTTCCACTATAACGACAGGCAAGAGGAAGGCCAGAATTACTGAACAGAGATTTCACAGAGCTGCTGAAGAAGACACTAGGTGTGGACACTTATCCAGCTATTTTGATCTGAATACTCTGTCTTTATTATGTGGAAGGTAAAGGCAAAGGTTTCCCTTGCTCGAAAGCCAGTCGAATCTGACTCTAGGGTTGCGAAGGAGCTCTCCAATGCCTAGAATGCAAGGAAGCTTAGTATAAGCAGAAGAAACAAACATGCCCTTTACCAAGCAGTCTAATATGGAATATGGAAATTGCAAACAAGTCTTGGAAGAGAGATTCAGGTTGGTTTGCAGTATAAGTGCAAAATTTGAGTCCAGCAGTACTTTAAAGACCAACAAGATTTTCAGAGAATAAGCTTCAGAGACTCAGAGCTTAATTCTTGAAAGCTTTTACACACTCTGGAAATCGTGTTGGTCTGAGGTACTACTGGACTCAAGACTCAGAATGAATCCCTATTCTAAGAGAAGATACCCTTTTGCTGGAAGATTTCTTGCCTTTGTATTTAGGCAACCCTTCATGAAGTCATATAATGTGAGCGACAGCTGCAGTCCCTGTTGCATTTGGAAAGTTAACAATGGACGGTGCAAAGTTCTTTCTCCTGAAGCAGAATTGGTGGTGTCTTTCTTTGCCCTCCTTACCTCTGCAGCTTCCACTTGCTGCTTTATGATGGATGGGTCAATCCCGGGACTCTCCAGGTCATGGACAATGTCCTGGGTATCTCGGATGGTGGTCAGGAGGGCAGCCATGTCATACCAGAACTTCTCTGCCAGTTCAAGGACATCCAGGAATTTGATTTCGCGTTCCTCGGCCCGAGTTTTGATATCTTCCCAGAAGAACACCATCTGATCCAATTTATCCTGGATTTCTGGAAAGGTAGAAAGGAGAACAACATCACAAAACTGAAAAATGAGGCCCGTTCTCTATTAGAAAAGAACCATTCAGAATACAGAGGACTTCCATCATCACAGAACCCATACAGGAATCTACCGAATAAGTGATTTCCAACACCAAGGTAAACATACAGGAATCTACTGAATCACGGTGGCATATGGAGGGAACACACACAAGATCTCCAAGTATGCCCAGGCTCCAGCACCTTTACCTTTTGCTGCCAGGTCCTTGTCTGCTCCTTGGGATCGCCTGATCAGTTCTTCCCCACGGCGTTTCAGAGCGTCGAAGGATGGCTGCAGCTTCTCCAGCTCCATTGTGGCATTTTTATTGTCACTGATGCACTCCCTGATTTTCTCCACCTCTGCTGGGATCAGCGGGGGCATGCGCAGACGGGAAGCGAGACTCTCCAAAGTCTCCAGCATTGGCTCAATCTTGTCGTGGAACTAAAGGGAAGAAGGGATCATTAGCGAAGACACAGTGGAGATGACATATTGCAATACCTACCTGTGGGGATATGCCACAGCGGTTCTGAAGTTCAATGGTGGTTTCAGAGGCAGGACAGCTTCAGAAATTCCCCTTTAATTGACACAGACATCCAGAACTGTGCCTCAAGGTCCTTACCAGTATTGCTTCTGAACAATCATTCCAGAAGAGTGCTCTCTTCTTTTTTCAGAAAGGTTATCTTGGCAAGCGCCACACTACGTTTGGATCTCTCTCTCCCTAGAAAGACTTGCCTGTCCCCTTCTGCTGCCATCTTCCACAAGTGGCTGAAGCCTTTTTTGTTTTGTCTGGCATTCCTTCAGTGATCCCACCTTCCTCCCCCACATTTTAAATGTTGTTTTTATGTTTTTCTACATGCATTTTAACTTTGGTTTTCATTCTTTTTGTTTGGTTTTTAATGGTTTTTAAGACATGTTTTTATTCAGTATGTATGTTTTTTTATCTGTTAGTCATCTTGGTGGCCCCGATGAGGGCAGAAAAGTGGGGTATGGCTTTTGTAAATAAAATAATGGCTATGCCTCTTAGAAGCATAGAGTTGGAAGGGACCCCCAGGGTCATCTAGTTCAACCCGCAGCACAAGGCTTTTTCTTTGCAAGGGTGTGACTTAGGAAGTCACATAGCTTCCTTGGTCAATTTCACTACCATGTCCGCCTTCTAGAAAAAGCCACAGCAGGAGGGAAATTCATCTCAAACTGACATGCTTGTGTACATGCTGGGTCGTTTCTTCCATTGCTGCCCACTGACGGGCTTTTTTGGAGGCCTCACAAAACAATCTCCTGGTTGAATGAAGTCACACCTCATCTTGACTACACTTTGAGAAGGGCTATAAAACAGAATTTGGCCTTGGGGACGAGGTCACAGGATTGTATTACACTTGGTCAGGACATCATGGTGGCAGTGGGAAGGGTTTTTCTTTTTTTATTGAATACTGTTTGCTAAGCTAGGTTTTGATATTTTGTATTTAAAATGGTTTTGTTACTCACGTTAGGTTCCATTTGTTTGGGAGAAAGGCAGGCTTAACATTTGGTTCATAAATCCCCCCCAAAAAAAACCCCTTAAAATCTTAACTCCTCTTGAGTAAGAGGGAAGCAGTTCTGTGCTGTTATAGAGGAGGGTAAGTGATTTGTTGAGGCATACGTTTTTGATACGCAGGAATTGCCTTAGTCACAGCTGACAGCATGAGCTAGGAAATTCTCTACTTATCCACAAATTCACCAGTGGCCTTCAGACAGCCACAATAAATGGCTACTGCAACCAGGAACGTGGCCTATTCCTGTACTTCTGGCCACATCAGTGGGAAGCATGTATGTGGGAACAGCTATCCACATTCTCTTTATTTTTGCTTCAATTAAAACAATGGGACGAAAGGTAATGTACTGGGGGAGGGGGAGGCATGGCTTGATGAGACAGCATGTGCTTTGCTTGCAGAAGGTCCCAGGCTCAAGCCCCGGTGGCATCTCCAGTTAACAGATCTCAAAGAGCAGAGCTGAGAAAGGCCCCTCCCTGCTTGAGACTCCAGGTATAGACTTTGTTTAGTCTCAGCACTCACGTTTCCACCACAATTCACAGCAGCTGGTGCTTTCTGTTCTCTCTGAACACCAGTTTGAACAATTTCTGATTTTGCAATTAAGAGGGTGCTTTTTGATGACTTGTTATATCAGAATTCACACTTTTGGAACTGCTGAATCAGAGGGGGTTCCCCCCCCTTTCTAAAATCACTTCACAAATCAAATTTTGTGAAAAATAAGCATAACCAACAACTTTCCAAAGAATGGGAGCAAGATTCCTAGTCAGGATGACACAGGCTTTTTTCTAAGTTAAAAATGGGTTGAAAATGTGATGCGTGGGTTTCTTACCTCTGCAATCTGTAATGGTGGGTGCAGTCAACACAACAATGAAATGAGAAGACCACGCAGGGAGCAGGCCAACAGGTACCCGAGACACACAACAGAACACATTCCACAATGGGAAGGGTGAGAAGACATGAGATGGTGGTGGAGGAAAAACTCAGAGTTATTATGAGCATAAACCAGGAGGAAAATAAGTAACTAAACACCACAACATTGTGCTTTTTTCCCAAAAAACAGATGAGACATGGAACAAAACTTGCACTAGTTTACCGGTGGAACATTTGGCCAACTCAAATCAAACAGCATGCAAGACAGGTGCTTTGGATAGTTGAAATGAGGTAATGAGAAATTTGGGTGTGACTGCTTGATTGAATTCATTTATAAAATAAAAGGCATGTTTTAAATAAAAACCTCAATCCCCCCCCCCCTTTGATATTGATAATAGCAACCCTTTAAGCAAACAGCAAATCCTCTTTTTGCTCCTGTGGATCTCTCCCACCAGCCTGCCTGAAATGAGAAAACCTGGTTGCAATTGCCTCCATAAAGGAGAGCACTGCCTCCCTGGCATGGAGAACAGCATATCACTGACAGGAACATATGGAACTGTCTTCGACTGAGTCCCAACAATGATCTATCTGCTCTGACCATTCTTCAAATGTGCCCAGAGGGGAGGGGGAAGATGGGAAATGCTTGCTTTACTCCCTAGCCCACCCACTGACACACAAAACCCAACCTCCATAGGCTCCTGACCCAGAGAGGCCTTCTCTTGATATCCACAGAGTTGGATGCCATCCCTTTTGTGCATTTGTGGGACTGAGGCCCCTCAGAAGATGTCAGCAACAATGCCATTCATTAGGTAAAGGTAAAGGTTTCCCTTGCTCGAAAGCCAGTCAAATCCGACTCTAGGGTTGCGGTGCTCATCTCCGTTTCCAAGCCGAAGAGCCAGCGCTGTCCGAAGGCGTTTCTGTGATCATGTGGCTGGCACGACTAAATACCAAGGCGCACAGAATGCTGTTACCTTCCCACCGAAGTGGTACCTATTTATCTACTTGCAGTTTCTTGCTTTCGAACTGCTAGGCTGGCAGGAGCTAGAACCACAGACGGGAGCTCACTCCGTCATGCAGCACTCGGGTCTCGAACTGCTGAACTACCGACCTTCCAGCCTGCAGTTCAGCGTCTTAACCACTTGAGCCACTGCATAAAACTGGGAATCACAAATTCTACAACCTGTCACCCCCCCCCCCCAATAATAATGCACATGGGCTGCAGATCACAGCAAACAACCAACCTGAGTTGACTGCGAGATGGCCTCATCCAGTGCTAGAGCGCGTTGGCGGACCTCCTCTTTGATGCGCAAGTATGTGGTCTCAGCCAGAGAGTATTTCTCCTGAACCATCTCCCCTTCTTCTGGGTTTAATTCCTTCAGCTGTGGCCCGATTTTCAGCAGCTTGTCAATGTGGGGTTTGTGCTCAGCAATTGACTCCCTCCATTGCTACAACATGAAGAATCAGAAGGCGAGTTTGACAACCAGCATTGCCTGTTTTATCTCCCTCATGTAATTTGCTTTCTTTACCACTGACACACACTTATCTGATCAGTTTCACTGAATTATCCAGCATAAATAAATATTTAACTGGAGGACTCTCTTGTGGGGGGGGGGCAATTTGGGAGTTGTAGTTTGCTATATTTTAAATTACAATTTGTAGGCTGCCTTGAGCCACAAGGAAAGGCAGAATATAAATATGGTAATAAATAAATAGTAAATTGAGTCAAATATCTTTTTTCTAGTCAATCACTGCTTGTTCAAATTTTAAGTTTATGCTTAAAATTAAGAATTTTTGTTAAAGTGCACACTGGAGTCACCAACACTTACCAACATTCGACTTCACTTGCCACACTGTTGCCCACTCACCCAATTCTACGGGATCCCCCTGGAGCTTTTTAACTAGTCACTTTAGTATTCACCATCCTCAGTAATTTGGTATTATCTGCAAACCTGGCCATTCCACGGCTCCCCCCTGTTTTTAGATCATTTATTTATGAACAAATGAAACAGCATCAGCCTCAATACCAATCCTTGTGGGATCTCACTGCTCACCTCCCTCAAGTTTGAGAACTGTCCACTGATTCCTGCTCTCGCTTGTCATTTAATCAGTTTCTAATCCACAAGAGGAGCCACCCTCTAACCTTGTGCCTGCTAAGTTTACTCCGGATGCATGTGGCTCTCTTGCCAAATTAACCAGGGTAGACTGGGTGCTGCCCACCACCTGCAGCTCATCAGAAGGGATCACGGTCTCTCTTTTCTAAGCACAAGGGTTTAATAGGGATTTTCAGAACAACTGAGTTTTGCAACCCACAGGGCCACTGTGTATTGATCCCTTACAGCTGGCTGGCAGAGGAACTGCCACCTGTCCTCACAGCCAGTCCTTTCCCCAAAAGCACCACAGTGTTCACTTCCAATACAGTACAACACCAAAGGACTTGCCTGAAAAAAGCGTCTCTACAAACTCCCCATACCTGGAGTTAAGAGTGGCCCTGCTTGGATTTAACCCACGAGGTTTCGCCCAAAACCTTCCAGGGCACACTTACCCTCATGTCTTCCTGTTGCTGTTTGAGATGCTCATGGTCAATGGCAGGTGGTGGCAGCTGTCCAATCAGGGCTTGCATCTCTTCTAGCCAAGGGCTGAGCTCTTCGTACGTCTCCCAGAACTGGTTTACCAAGACTTGGGCCCGCTCCAGGCAGGCATAGCGCTCTGAATTGAGGTGGCTGACTTTGTCATACTGGTTCGCGAGAGACTCTGTTTTCTCCTGGAGGAAAAGGGGAGGTTCAGAATGAAGACACCAGCCAAGGAGCCTCTTCTGGATGCTGGTTCTCAGGGGCCAGCTTCATGACTTTGCGCCATTTGATGCTGTACTTCACACATTGCCTGAATGTATACATTCCATCCCGTCTGTCCCACATAATTCTTCTCTTTGAGTTTTTCCTGACCCTTTATCATGACATTCTGCTGTTTTTAATTTTTTAATTTTATTGGATTTGTATCCTGTCCTCCCCACATAGCAGGCTCAGGGCAGGTTCCATCATACATAATATCCAAAAAACAGTTAAAACTAATTAAAATACATCAAATAAAAATACAGATAACAATTCCTATATTTCTCACCAGAGCCTCAACAGATGAGGTCTACCACAGACTGGGGTTCCAGGTAGTTATGCAGATCTGTATCACTGGAGGGGCAGCCCAATAAAGTGTGGACGTCCGCTGCCTTAGCTAAAAGCCTGGTGGAAGAACTCCGTCTTGCAGGCCCTGCAGAACTGTAAAAGCTCCCTGAATGGGAGCTCATTCCACCAGGTAGGGGCCAGGACCAAAAAAGCCCTGGCCCTAGTTGAGGTGAGACGGATGTCCCTGGGGCCGGGGACTACCAGGAGATGCTGGTTTTCATATCATAGAGCTCTCTGAGGCTCATAAGGGCAGAGGCGGTCTTGAAGATATGCAGGCCCCTGGCCGAATAGGGCTTTGGATTAACAGTTCTTTTTGGAGGGAGGGACACTTACAGCAGAAAGCTGCCTAGGTCAGACCCTAGTCAGACTCACAAATACTTGCTATATCTTGTATTTCTCTTTGTGTTATCTTCATTTCTTAAGCATAACTTAGTCTTCATTGGTATGAGTCTGGATAGGCACTGATTCAGTTTGGCTGGCCCTGCTTCAGCACAATCACCTGGACAACTCCAGGTCTCTTGTAGTGTTCTCAAGAGACGGCTTTACCTGAAGCATGGCTTTCTGCTCCTCCCCGCAAGTGCCCAAGATTTCACTACGCTGGCTGAACAGCTCATCCACTGAATCTTTGTGCCGAATTATGTCAATGGAAAATGCCTGCAAAGGTAAACCATGGGACAAAAGAAGACCGATTAAGCAACCAGAACACAATATGCAAACAAATTCTGTATCTCTTTCAGGACATGTTTCTTGACCAAAGTGTAGCCATCTTGCCTGCACCAAAGACATGTCTCAATGGACACCCATCGAAGGCCACTACTTCAAGGCTGTCAGGATTGTGTGTGTGTGTGTGTGTGTGTGTGTTAGGTGCCATCCAGCTGCTTCTGACCTATAGCGACTCTATGAACTGATGACCTCCAAAATGTCCTACCATTGACAGCCTTGCTGAGGTCTTGCAAAATGAGGGCCACGGCTTCCTTTACTGAGTCAATCCATCTCCTGTTGGGTCTTCCTCTTTTCCTATTGCCTTCAACTTTTCCTAGCATTATTGTCTAGAATCTATGCTCTTGTTCTGTACTGTATTGATTCTACAGCTGCTCCAGATAGCCAGAGACCAGCCATTCTGTTGTAGGCACATCCTTGTAATTCCTGGAGTATCTTGTTTTAAGTGTTTTGTCCTACTTGAAATGACAGCTGAAATGCTTTGGATGGTGTTCAAAATCATCTGCTCCCTCCACCCAGCTACCTCCTCAACTGCATAGGGGCCAGAAGCAAACATGGTTTCAGTCTTTACACCATTAGCACCCCATATGCTCAACTTCAGCCATGGTAATGAAGCTGGTCACCTCTAGCTGATATGTCTGCCCTGGAAGGATCCACGCTAGCAGCTGGTGTCCCTTCACCACCTTTACTTCCTGCATCGCCTACACTTCCCTAACGCCATGAGCAATCCTTCCACTCTGCCATCCACCTTTGTTTAACAGCCTGTTTTCCATGCTTTGCTTTCCCTCAAGGAATCCCACTCTCCATCTTGCCAGCCTTTCTATACCTTCTGGACCTGCAGCTGTGCAGTGGTTTGGTCTTGCTCCAGGCGGATCGGACCAAGAGCCATCAGCTTCCGCTTTGTCTCTGCAACCCAAGCGAGTTCTGCATCAGCTGCTTGCTCATACTTGCACCGAGAAGGAAGAGGAGAACACAACATGGTTAGCAAAGTATAATGGGGTGAACCTGGCATGCAAACAGGGGCAAGTCCTAATGCTGCACTTATGTTGGTTGACAAGTGACAAGCTTAAAGGCTCTGCTGAGAATTGTCCAGCATGACAGCAAAACAGATTGTGGACGGAAAGTCAGCAGACAGGAGGGGAGGAGACAGTGCTTGCTTGCCTGGAGATAGCTTCAGGCAGGTAGCCATATTGGTCTGCAGTAGAAGAGCAAGACTTGAGCCCAGTAGCACCTTAAAGCTTAACCAGATTGCCAGAGAATCAAAGACCCTTTTGTCAGATACTGTGGAAATCTTGTTGGTCTTTAAGATGCTACTAGACTCGAATCTTGTTGCTTACTCATCTTTCCCACATTCTCATGACCACACAATCATCTTCTGAAAGAGCATCTGCACCCCATCCAAATCTGAGTTCAAGGCAACTACTAGTCCACTTAATACTTCTCCTCTAGAGCTGTAGGTTGATGGTGGCGCAGCACATGAAAAATTCCTGCGTACCTGAATTCCTACAACAATTTAGGACTGCTGGTTCTTGCAAAGATGAGGTGTGTCAAGCTTCTTGACACCTGCATAAATATTTTGCAGACGTGGGAGATCTGAGATCAAAGACATCCTCTGCATCACAAGCTTGCATCACAACCTTGACAAGGCTGCCCCCTCCACTGCTATCCAGAATTTAACAGGGGTTGCACTTACCTGTAACCTTTGTTCATCGAAAGGGCTTCTGTGCAGGCACACATCCCTCCCTCCTTCCCCGCTGTGGGAGTCTACTGCTCCTAAGTGGCGACTATGGAGAACTGAGGGAAGAGGTTGGCTCCTCCCAGGTCAGGGGACTTTTGGGCGGGAAGTTGCTGGAATGGTAGGAGCCAAGCATTCTTGGGAAGAAAAAATTTCTACAATGAGCTCGCTAGTTCTTCCCGGTGGCTGGCCTGCGGTACCGCAGTCCGATGTGGGACTGCACAGAAGCCTTAAAGATGAACCACTCGTTCCTTTCATCTGCTTGGCTGCAATTTCCCACTTTGGTTGGAAAGAAAAGCCAGTGCTAGCACCTTGGAGCATCTCTGAACACCACTGGGGAAAAGAGACTCAGAGAAAACTACCTGCTGGGACCTTTGTATCGCAGCATCTATTTCTTCTACCCTTTGCTTGATGGTGTCACTGATCAGCTTGTACCGTTCATTGGTGTCTGAGACCAGCTTATCCAAGCCTTCGCGGGCACGCCAGGGCACCAGTTCCAGCAGGGCACGGCTCACCTCATTCACAGTATCCAGAATAAGCCGACGTTCCATCACTTCCTTCTTTAGTTCCTGGGAGGGGAAAAAAGACCAACCATGAGTGACCATGAACTTGCCTTATTCCTAGGTTGTCCAAGAGGGAGCTTGTGGCTTTGGAAACAACTCTCTGGGTGGTCAGAGGCAGGGCCTGCTTCCCATTCTTAAAGGACCTGGGCTACATTTGCTGCTTGTAGGTCAGGAGAGGGGAAGAACTCTTGCTGCCAAAGAAAATAGCATTTCCTGCCTTGCAGCAGAAAAGCACATGCCCAGTTTGCTGCAGTGGGAAGGGGAGAATAGCATTCCCTCTCAGCAGCACATGGCTGAATCCTCTTCTTGACTGCAGCCATGCTCCCAGATCTCCGATTGTTGGACTTAAGAGGACAGCCGTAAAATGCAAGATGATCTCTTTACAAGAGTGCAACCTTTTTACAGTAGATGCTCCCTACCTTTTGCCTCTGCTGGAACTGAGGAATCTGCTCCCCAGTGGGGGAGTACCCTCCACCAGATGTCAGCTCCTCCTCCACTTGACTCATCCAGCCGGTCAGCTCCTCGTGCGTGGCCTGGAACTTCGTGGCCAGCTGCCGTGCCTGCTCCAGTGTCCGAAGCGCCTTTGAGCTGGCAGTGGTTATGTCTGAGTAACGGGTCTTGATGCCATCCAGTTTCTCCTGGATGAGCAGCACTTCCTCCCCTGGGGAAACACACAAGGACTTTAGCCTGAACGAGCCCTATCATCTGAGTTATGGTCATTTCTATTTTAAGCAGTGGATTGTAAGTCCATCTTTTCAAAATCTGCTACTCCCCCCCCCTTCTGCACTCACATCCTTCCACTGCCTGCTTACTGAAATATCTTTAAAGAAGTAAGGGAAGAGAATCTGAAGGGCAAACTCAGACACAACCTTTGCAGGTGTTGTCCCCCAGGGACTTCTACTCTTGGTCATCTTTGCTGGAGGATGTAAGGGAGGCGTTGGAGTCCAGCATACTTCCTTATCTCACCTGTGGTTTGTTTCAGAAGGGCTTGTCCATTCTTAATGGCCTGGTCTACATTCTTCTTGCGGTTCAGGATCTCATCATTCAAGGCCTAAATGGGAAGAACCAACAATAGCCGAGTTAGCAGTTCATCTGGGCACGTCTGCCTGATTCTGCAGAAGACCAAAGCAGGTTCCTGTTGGGGCCTGAGCTACAGAGCCACAACAGAGGTGGACAAACCACGGCCCAAGAGACACACCAGCCTCAGGGGAGCTTTTCACCTGGCTGGCCCTCAATCTGTTGGAAGCACTGGCCCTCCAGACTTCGGCAGCAGCTGGCAGACTGACATCCCTGAAAAGCAGCTGGAACAGCTCACGGGCTAAGAACGGCAAAGAGCAGCTGCATGGGAGAGGGGCCACATCTGAATTTCTGGCAGCTTTTGAAACTGGGAGAGCTAGTGCCTGGCCACTCCTGCACTATATTAAGTGGGCGAAGGTGGCAATCAAAAGATTTGATTTGGCTCCCTTTCATGCAGGCCTCTGTGCCCCTGTAAGACAGTAGAAAAGGGGAAGGTGCTGGGTGCCCAAATACAAACCAAAGGTTGGGTTCTGCTTGTGTGCTGAACACACCTCATAATTTTACCACAGAGAAGCAGCCTCATGGAAACCCCTAGACTGGCCACTCTGTCAAGGCTGAAGAGCTGCCTTCAACTGAAAACACCTCTAGGTAGAGACACAGGAGGACAGTCTTTCTAAAGCCTTACCCTACTCAGAGCTTCATCGCCAGATTTCTGGCATCAAAAGAATACCACTTCGGGAGCTGCTATAAGCATCAGGGTTTAACAAGCTTGAAGAAGAATCTGAACAGCTCCAGAGGCAGTTACTCCCTTGCCACGGAATTAGCCAAACTGGATAAAGCCACTGGCATGGGGAATGATTGCCTGCCAGCGCCTTCTGCTCCTCTCCTCTAAACTACCAAAAATATGTCAAGTATAGGAGTTTACAAGATCAATCCCTGGCAAACAAATCAACCTTTATGGTCAAGTCAACGCCTTCACTTTCCTCTCCGAGCGCTTGGGATCTCTGTCATACACCACAGGCGTTAGTTTCACGGCAACCCAGGGTTCTATCATAGCCTGTGATTGCTCAAAGAAATGGAAGCCAGTGAAGGAGTTGCACAGAAAGGCCATGAAGACAGGCACTGGGTCGGTTTTAAAGGGCTGCCAACTCAGTCCTATGGGGCAAAAATCTTGGGTGCAGAGGAGAAGGGGCCAAACCTATCCCTCACCCCAGACACTCCTTAATTATTGGGGCAGAAGAGAGATTTAGAGGTCCACTCCAACAGTGACACCGACTGCCTCATAGGAGCAAGTGGCTGCAATCAACTCCTGTAGAGTGAAACAAACAAAAGCTTTCCATTCAGTAGTGTGCTCTGTTGGGGCAAACACAGTCCTGCCATTCTCCAAGAGTGTGTGTGTGTGTGGGGGGGGATAGCAACCACTTACAGGCATCCATGGGGAGTGTGCAACAAGTACCTGCATACAGAGGCAGAGACACCTGGAGCACGAGGAGGCACTGGAGCAAACAGGTGCTCAGGTGTGGGCACTGTGTTATTCACACACTGATGAAGCGAAGAGAGCGAAACCAAAGGGGTCAATTCAAACATAAGCGCAACCATGAACCTACCACAAGCAAGCCCTTCATTCTTAATTTGGGGGATGGTCATAATATTGGCCTAAACTCATGAGGCTGTTGCATGGATTACCAAGATAATGTACACACTGCTGTTTTGGCTTGCTGGAATCAATTAAAATCAAAATACAGAATGATTCAAAGGAACAGAAACCCAAACACAATGTCATGGAAGATGGGGGGGGGGGAGAAGCGGTGAATACCAGCTGCTCAGCATGCTGCTTCTGCAGGACATCCCGTTGGTAATCCTTGACGGACACCGAGATGAGCTTGTCCTCAACCTCCGCTAGCCAGTTGAGCACCTCCACCTCGTCCTCCCCAAAGAGCCGGGCATTAGCCAAGGCCTGATCAAGAAGGGCAGCCTTCCGGCCGCACCGGTCACAAATCTCATCATAGCGAGACTCCAGCAGGTCCAGTTTGTCAGCCAGTAAGGCCTGCTCAGTTCTGCAGCTCAAGGAGGACAGAGACTGCCCTGTCCTGACTGCACGAGCCACGGCCGTGGCCCGGCTCTCTATCTCTTCCTCTAGTGCCTGGAAATCAGGGAGAATAAAAGGAAAGGGGGGAAAAACACAAAATGGAGAAGAACATGTGATTTGAAAATGGAACAAACACAAAGGGGGAAAAAACACAAATGTCAATGAAAATTCTTAACCAAAACTGAATAATGGAGATGGCTGATAAAAATATATGCTGTAATACATTAAATAATACATCAAATAAATGGTCTGAATGAAGGGGGGGGAGCAAAGAGATGACTTTCGTTTCATTCTGTCCTGGAGGTCAGGCAAACTCATTAACAGAAGCGACACTGCTTTTTTCATAGCCTTAAATCAAAATTAAGGGAACTTTGACACATCCACTTGCACCAAGCCAGGTTTATGCCCCAAGAGAGCCCCTATGCTTGCCTGCAAAGCTTCCCGTTCACTTACATCCCCAGTTATTGGCTGAGCTGTTTCTGACATCATAGATTATTCAAAAGCTCTGAGCTCAGGACTAAGAGATCTAATTAATAATAACTTGGACAGTAATATCTTTACTAGTTACTCAAGTTCAGTCTTGAGGCTTAAACACTCAGCCCTGGGTCTTTATATGCTGAATTCCAGCCAACTCATCTGGATTTCAAAGCCTGCTCCCATCGTGCACGTACATACACGACTGTATCCAGGGATGCATGTCTCTCAGCATCAAATACACCTGCCCAAGAGCCCCCCCCCCAGACCCCCGCCTTTGCCATTGTCTTGGCTATCATTCCCCAACCTTATGCCGGGTGATCTGCTGCTGGATTTTGGCAGTTTGAGTCCCAATGGGCTCTGAGTTGGCTAATTTCTTTTCTGTCACAGCCAGCCAGTCAGAGATGGGTTCCGATGTCTCATGGAACTGCTTGGCCAAAACCAGGATCTCCTCCAACTGATTTTGCCTGTGGTAAAAAGGGAAACAAATCCATTCAGAAATCCAAATGGGCACACTTAGCATTCCTGAAAGATTTAAGTGATTGAAATGCCCACAAATTGTTTGTGCCCCCACAGCTTTAGAAAGTTTTTTGGGGGGCGGGGGTGTGTACCTAGAAGCCATGGCTGACTTCTGGCGACCCCTAGTGGGGCTTGGAGGCAAGGGACATTCTTTGGAGGTCTCCCATCCAAGCTCTTTCCGGGGTCAGCCCTGCTTAGCTTCCAAACTCTGACGAGATCGGGCTTGCCTGGGCTGTCCAGGTCCAGGCACTTTAGAAAGTTTGAGACTGGTAGCTCTCCCTTGGACCTGGAGCCTCACTGAATCCAACTTTGTAGCCTTAAGATGGTGCTGACAAAACTCAAAGGCATACACAGTGAAGCTGTCCCCAGCTGACTATTGTTCCATCTATTCAAGACAAGCAATGGTGCTCCCAGTTCTCAAGGAGATCTCTCTCAGCAAAGCTCCTTGAGATTCTAATAAGCTAGAAGTGCCAAGGATAGGACATGCAAGATCTGCTCTACTGCTGAGATGCCTAAAGACATAACATAAGTATTCTTCTAGATCAGACCATCTAGTTCCAATAGGCACCAGCTCTCCAGGGTCTCAAGGAGGGTTTTTAATGAGCTCTACAGAGATCCTTTTAACTAGACATGCTGGGGACTGAACATGACAACTGGAATGGTAAGCCACATTAGGGACCAAGTTGTATCCAATTTCTGCAGCAGTCCACTGTGAGCACCGTGCTACTGGCACTGACTATGCCATTCCTCTGCTAGCCGGACTTATGGGATCAACACACAGTTGCCCTGTAGCTTCCGAAACTCAGTTGTTCTGATAATCCCCATTAAACCCTTGTATTTATAAAAGAGAGACTGAGATCCATTCTGAAGAGGTGCAGGTGGAGGGTGGCACCCAGTCTACCCAGGATGGGAGGGACAATACATCCATCGAATCCCCACAGTTCTCCCACCTAGAGAGAACAGCAAGCAAATATCGCTGTTTTACAATTTATCTGAGTTTAGGTAGCCTTTTCGGAGCTGCGGTGGCTCAAGTGGTTAAGACACTGAACTGCAGGCTGTGGAAGGTCAGTAGTTCAGCAGTTCGAGACCCGGGTGCCACATGATGGAGTGAGCTCCCATCTCTAGTTCCAGCTCCTGCCAACCTAGCAGTTCGAAAGCAAGAAATTGCAAGTAGATAAATAGGTACCACTTAGGCGGGAAGGTAACAGCGTTCCGTGCGCCTTGGTATTTAGTCATGCCGGCCACATGACCACGGAAACGTCTTTGGACAGCGCTGGCTCTTCGGCTTTGAAACGGAGATGAGCACCGCAACCCTAGAGTCGGATTCGACTGGCTTTCGAGCAAGGGAACCTTTACCTTTTACCTAGGTAGCCTTTTAAATGTCTTCCATATCTGTTACCACCCTTAGCAGTGAATAGAATCATAATTTTATTTGGATTTTAAAATCTCTTTCTCGTTGTTATTGGATGCTTGGGGATATGTGTCAGGGGGGATGGAGACTTGGGGGGAGTAGTCTTGGGCAAGGGGAGGTATAGCAGTGGGAAATGGTACAGAGAAATGAGCAAATGCGCCTAAGAGCTTGCCCCATTTCTGGTTTTGTTCCTAGTCAAAGGAAATCTGGATTCCACACCAGCATCCTATTGGGTCACATGATGGTTCCACTGGATCACTCCTGCCAGCTCCCTTTCCCTTTCACGTGGGCTGCAGCCTTATCTGGGTCATTTTAACCATGCACCTTGTAACCTCCACATGAAGTGGTCTCCTCCTGAGTCAGACCCATGGTCTATCAAGGACAGTACTTTCTGTTCTGATCAGCAGTAGCTTACTACGGTCTTAGGTTGAAGTCTTTCCCGTCACCTGCTATCAGATCCTTTAAAATGGAGATGCCAGGGACTGAACCTGGGACTTTCTCCATGCCAGGCTGATGCCCTTAACCTGAGCCACATGGCCCCTCCCCACAGAAGACTTGCTGTTGAAAGCAAGGCTGGTAACGGCAAAAACAGTGTTAATCCAGGACTTGGATTATGCAGAAAAGGGTGAACGTGGCTTGATGGGTGTGTGTGTGTGTGTGTTGAGTTTTCATAACTGTCCCCACTCCCCACCAGGCTTCTCAGTGCAGCAGCAGGCTGGTCTGGGGGTGGGAGAGGGAGGAGGAAGAGCCCCTGTCTCTCATGATCCCACCTCCACACCAGACACCCTGTTCAAAGGTGCTTCAAGGGTCTCTAGCTGGCATCAGAATCCTGCGTCATGAAACAGCAGAGATTTTAGAGCAAAGATCATTGAAGATGCTGTGTGTGGGTGGAGGCACAGCAGCCTCCTGCATGTCAGTGAGACATTAAAACACCTTCCCCAAGGTTGCACCCTGCCCGTCTCTGTGCTTACCTTGCTGAGGCCTTGCTGAGGAGGCCTGCCCAGCGGCTTCCAAGACTCTCCAGCTGCCCAGCTATCTTCTCCCTGTCCACTGGTTCGGCTGACTGTGCTATTCTTCCACCCTCTGTTTGAATCATCTCAACAGTAGCTTTCCGATCATCCAGGAGGCGCTGCAGCAGCTTTGGGGCAAAGCATTGGGAACTGGTCAAAAGAATGAGTATTAATCTCGTTGCAAGCAACTTTGTCTCCATGGGGGAGCAAAGTGAAGCATAAAGGAAGCAAAATAAATGACCCCAATAAACCAGCAATTCTCATCCTGTCTCCCAAAAGGTCAACCTTCCCCCGTGCCTGGAAAATGAGTTCTCCTCTGTGTTAAACTTCCCTTCTCTTGACAACATCCCACACACCTCCCCTAAATCCCTTTTCTTGGCTTCTTTTTCACGATCTGTCATGCCAGGATTTCATTCTTCACTACTGGGACTTACCTATTCCATGTGCCTCTCTAAGATTAGTGCTTCCAAGAGAAAGCTGCTTTAAACTCTTTCTGCACGGCAGTTTTTTTGAAGTGGACAGCAATTTCAACACACATGGATCTTGCACTTCCTAGCAATCACTTGCGCCTCCTAGAGAGAACTTGGAGGCTCACCCTCCCCTATGCAGTCTCACTCACCTTCTGCTCTTGGATCTGGGCCTTCACCACTTTGTATTCCGCTGACGGAGGCTTCTGATTGGAGATGAGCTCCTCAGTGTCCGCCAGCCAGCTGAGCAGAGGCTCCAAGGCATCTTGGAATTTCCCACAATGCAACAGGGCTTCCTGCAGTTGGGCAATTCTCTGAGCCACCTACATTTGGCCAACACACACAGGGAGCGGCATGGATTAGCCAATTATTTGCAAAGCCCAGTTCATGGCAAAAACTGTTACTTGGGCCCAAGCTACATGAGACGCTGGAAAGTCCATAGCTCAGCTCCCATTTTTTCCTCTCCTTTCAAAAAGCAGGCATGCACCTAGCTGCCTACCTCTTTAAACACACCACAGAGGACCTCATTGACAGCACTCCCAGTCTCTGGGGGTGCTTGGCCCTCTACCTCACTCTGCCTCATAAGCAGTAGCTGAAGCAGATGCTTACTGCGATTTTGCAGGTGGGAAGCAAAGCCAATCCGCTAAGCTTTGGGCTAAGTAGGGACTTGAACCCAGGCCCTTCTTGTTCACTTGGCCTCTAGCTGATGTGTGCTATTATAGTCTCTCTCTGTTCCCTGTTCCCTTTGCTATCCTATCGGTCAAAGTTGATACTGTAAGTTCCTTTGGGTGGGTCCTCTCTCGCTTGCTTAGATAGCCCTATGAAGCCTTATGCCCATTGCTGGTGGTATGTTTGCTCTCTCTCAATGCCAGTTCTCAACATTTGGTCACATTTTTTTAACATTTTTTATTGCTTTTCTAAACTACAAATCTACAGGATCGGGGGATGGGAACAACCTAAAATGAAGAGTAACAAGGATCCTCAATACAGTCTTTGGATACTGAAGCGGAATTAAGGGCTGCTGCCCGTAAACAGCTAAAAATTAAATTGGACTTTGATAAGAAGCACAGAGGAAAGAAAAAAAGCAAAATAGACTAACTTTGATAGTGTGAGGTTGATTGTTAATGCATACATTTAAAGCGAAGATACACACACTACAGTCACATATGTTTTTGATTGCCTGCTTTTTAATTTGATACTTTTATATTATTAACTCTCACGTTTTACTATTTTGATAATAGGGATGTATCAACAACATTTGGTCACATTCTTGCGTGACTCAGAGAAAAAGCCAAGGGATGATGACACGCAAAGAGATGCGGAGGCTTCTTCCTGAATATATTATATAGATATAATTTATTTATGTTAGATTCTATCCCACCCTTCCCTGCACAAAGGGCTCAGGGCAGCTCACAACAAATGACAAAACAAATAAAAACAGTTAAAAACACTCAGTCCGTTAAATCATACAAACAATAATAAATAAGTCAGCATACAAGACGGCAAGTAGGCATAAGTGCGTAGCACTCTAATAAAATTTATAGAAGAGTGTGCCTCTAATTAACCAGCTGGACAGTGGGCAATCGCCACTGGTAATCTCTGATCAGATATCATAACAGGCCAGGGCGGGGTTAAGCAGGGGAGGCCAGTATAACTGGTCACCCATTGCCTCAACCAAACTCCTGCGAGAATGTCTCCATTTTATAGGCCCCGTGGAACTGAAGATCCCGCTGGGCCTGATCTCACTTGGGAGAGTGTTCCACCAGGCCAGAGCCGAGAAAGCTCTGGCCAAGGCTAAGCGGATGTCCATTGGGCTGGGGACCACCAGCAGATGTTGATTTGATGAGCACAACGCTCTTCGAGGGACATAGTGGGAGAGGTGGTCCTACAGATATGTTGGTCCCAAACCACACAGGGCTTTAAACCTTGAACTTGATTTGGTACTCCACTGGAAGCCAATGCAGCTGGCGGAGCACTGGTTGTTTATGTGATCTTAGAGGTGTCCCGGCAAGGACATTTTGCCCGGCAAGGCTGCATTTTGAACCAGTTGGAGCTTCCAAGTCAACCTCAAGGGCAGTCCTGTGTAGAGAGAGAGTTACAGTAGTCCAGTCTGGATGTCGGTTGGCACCGCCATGGGATGTCTCTGTGCTGGAGTGTGTGAGCTATGCGCTTGCACCTTCCTTGCCACCCTGCTTTTCCCTGCAGCTGTCTTCCCTCTGTTGCCTTATTATCTCTCCGTGGCCTTGAGTGCCTGGATTCCCCGTCTTGCCTCCTTTGCCAGTCTCCCGCCCTTGCTGGGTCCGTTAGCTTTTCCCCGCGCTTGCAGGTGCTTGCTCATTGGCCTCTGCTCATCAGGGGGTCGTTTATGAATGAGGTATAACTGTTTAGCCCGTGCATCTTAGGTTATTCCTAACACAGAAGTTCATGGAGTATCCTCTACTCTGATCAATAAACTGAACCTAACCCGGTCCTGTGTGTTGTTACTGAGTTACTGGAGTACCTGACACTGGAAGTGACCACTGGATGGATCACTGTGGCTAAGTCAAAAGGACAGAGATGGGGAACCAGCTGCCTGACCAGCCAAAGATGGCAAAAGGCTGTTCTGGCAAAGGTCGTGACTTTGGCCTCCATTGAAAGTGAGGCATCCAAGATCACACCCAAGCTCCTCACCATTGGCAATGGCGTCGATAGCACCCTGCCAAAGGTTGGGAACTGGATCCCTAACTCCACAGGACTGCCGTCTTTGATGGATTTAATTTCAAATGGCTCTGCAGCAACCAAGCAGCCACAGACCCTTAATGCCCTAGCCAGAACCTCTGGGGCAGTGTCCAGTTAGCTGTCCATCAATACATACAGCTGGGTGTCATCAGCATACTGGTGACAACCCAGCCCAAACCTCCAGACCAACTGGGCGAGGGGGTGCATATAGATGTAGAATAACATAGGGGAGAAGATTGCCCCCTGTGGGACACCGCACACCCGAGGATAGCATGGTGAAACTCTCTCCTCAATTGCCACCCTCTGCCCCTGACCATGGAGAAACAAGATGAGCCACCACAAAGCAGCCCCTCGTATCCCCACCTTGGCAAGGCGGTGGGCCATAAGGTCATAGTTGACTGTGTCAAACACTACTGTTACGTCAAGTAACACCAGCAGCACTGACCCGCCTTGGTCCATATGCCTCTGGAGGTCATCTGTGAGGGCGACCAGAGCCGTCTCTGTCCCATAGTGAGGGTGGAAGCCAGACTGGAATACGTCCAAGACAGAGAAGTAATCCAGGAAGACTTGGAGTTATTCCGCTACTGCTCTCTCAACCATCTTACCCAGAAAAGGGAGGTCTGACACTGGGCAGTAGTTGGCCGGATCCAAAGAATCTAAGGATGGCTTTTTCAAGAGTGGTCTCACCACTGCCTCCTTTAAAGCCTGACGTGACTGGGAGTAGGGTCCATCCCTAAACTAAGCATCCTTGAGTTTGCTGCTCTGGGGGAAAGAGAAGCACTGCCCCTTGGGCTCAGGTTGCATAGGGGGCAAACTTGGGCCCAGACCCACCTACTGCACCCCAAAGGTTTCCTTGCAATATACACCCCCCTCCCATGCTTGTCATATTGATAGGCCCGTGGCCAGTAACTGGGAAGAGCCGCTTAGCTTGCTGCACCTCACCTTCTTGTTGAGTGTGTTCCAGCGGGTGTTGATATCTTCCATGTCATGTTCCAGGCCCTGTACATCACAATTCTTTCCTGCGCTCTGGATGAGTCCCTGCCCAAGCCCATTGACTTGCTGCAGTCTGAGTTGAAGCAGGTCGACTTGCTCCCTCTGGAATGTCTGAGCAAAGGTCGAAAGAAAAACAAAATGGACATGGGTCACCTCTGGAAATCACTCAGCTTTTAAAAAGGCTTTTATCCTGCCTCCCTGCAGGGAGCAGTACTGCTTCCCTCAGTATACCCTTACAACAGTGTTGTGAAGTAAATTAGGCTGAAAAGAGTGTCTGGCCCCAGAGCAGTTTCAGAGCCTCCTTAGCTTAAATCCAACAGACTGCCCATTATCCTACAACTGCAAGGAGCAACTTGGTCCCTTTGTAGAATACCTGGATATTGCTGGCTTATGAGCCTCCACCTCTAGCCACAGACATGCAGACTCACTGAGGTCCAATCATCTGTACTGAGGCCCAAGACACAGGGCTCGGAAGGTAATACAAACCAACAGCCCCAGAAAAACTGCATTCGCAGGCATGGTGCACTCACAATCAAGCCCTGCAGTCCTGGAAAGTGAAGCCTTGAGAGTACCAACAGAAGCACACTGAAACTCTTGACATTGGGAAGAAATGCAGGACATCTTTTTTAAAAGGACAAACCACCAAGGAAAGGAAAATGAATGCATTTCCTGCTTATCGGAGAGCTTCCCACGTATCTGGCTCACTCCCAGTCTGAAAGCCTTCTGGGGGAGGGGGGGAAGCATCTTAAAACAAAAGGGCTTGGAAACAAAGGGAGAGAACCTGGCCCTGGAAAGAAGACAGAAAGATACAATCCTGTTCCTGCAAAGGACAATTTAAATCTGAGATCCTCAGATCGCCTGTAAATACCTGTTGACAAGCAAGAGGCTGGCAAAGCAGCCCGAGTGATAGTTTTCCCATAGAGGAAGGGGGGGGTCTTTGGTCACTACTGATGTAAAACTGTCCCTCAGCTCCTCACTGGCGAACAGGAACAGCAGCCACCTACTTCTCAGGGCTGGCCAAACACAACCAAGCAGTAAAGAAGACAGGCAACATGGCATTAATGAAAAGCAGCAGCTGTATGTAGTGGTGGAGAAAGTGGCACTGTTTGCCCAAGGCTGCCGAATAGCAGAGGCTCAAGCCAAACTCACATTCCCTCCCCTCCACAGGAAGGCTCGGCCTGTGGAAAGGGAGGACACGACGGCTTGATTCAGCCTGAATCTCATTTGCTAAAAGAGTCTGGGCCAGATCACTCTCAAAGCCACCTTCAGGGTCCTTTGGGCAGGCCTGGGGGGAAAAGGAGGAAGAGACGCGTGGTCGGGCTGGCTGCACTTGAGAGGTGGATACTCACTTCTCCTTTCATTTCCATAGGCCATTCCGGCTGCTGAAGTTACCCCCCCCCCCATTTTTTCTAGCTGGCCTCAAGTCACCACTTTTCACAGTGGATCCCTTTTCTAAATCTCCAAACTGATGTCCTTTGTAAATCTCCCCAAAGGCAGTGTTTTCTTCTCTCTGGGCCAACACGTGTTGGACGTTTGAGTTATCATCCAAATAAGGACCACTGCATTACTCAAAAACAAACAAACTCCTCACAGCAATGGAGACTGCCCAATCTCTGCTCTGCCACGAAATGACCCAGCAACAACTATTCAGACCAAGATATGTTACCCAGAGATAACCCCATTGCCCCTCCATTGCTGTCTCATTCTCTACTTGCTTTGCTTTATTTACAAGATTGACAGACACCTTTCTGGAGGAACCGGGCAATACACAGCAATTCAGTACAATGCTAGGCATGTCAAGCACACAATCTTTCTGCAGATGCTCTTGCTGTGTTACTTTAATGCACACAATGATTTCTAACCACACATGTGGCACATGGTACTACCGTGGTTTAGGCATCACAGGGTTCCTAACACACAAAATAGTGAGTGGCAGGACTGGAAAAAAAAACATATCCCAAGCAGGGGACTCTATCCCCCCCTCCCCCCAATTCTTCAACACCTATTTCTCCAGCTTATGGAAGGCACCTGCTACCTGATGTCCTAGGGCCTTCTGCATGCAAAACCCATATTCTGCTAGAGATATGGCTCCTCCTATGTTAGGCTCAGTCTGGAAAGACCAAGGCTCAAATCCCAGCTCAGGCATGAAGCTCAATGGCCAATTTGGAGAAACCAAGATGGGTAGCCGTGTTAGTCTGTCTGTAGCAGTAGAAAAGAGCAAGAGATACCTGAAGAAGTGAGCAGTGACTCATGAAAGCTCATACTCTGCCACTGAACTCCTGGAGAAACCAGCCAGTCTCAGCCTAACCTACCTCACAGGTTTGTTGTGAGGATAAACAGGCATCGACTTCCGGTTTATGGCGACATGCTGGTGGACGCATCTCCCAGATCTCCCGGGGATGTGATCTGCACACCAGCGGAAAGGAGGGGGGGCGACGGGTTGCTACCCCCTGGAACCTTGGCAAATGGATCCTAGCCATGGGGCTTTTGAGGGGTGGCCTCTTCGCCAGCGCGATGCTAGGGAATTGAGGTGCTCCTCCGCCCCGACGGTCCTGCCGCTGAGTGTTCATATGGATCTACAGCCACTGACCGGGACAAGCGTTGGAGATCGAGCATTTTGAACGTATGCTGAGCGAGGTCGTAAGACCAACAATGAACTGTGAGTCGGGTTAAAGCGAAACGAGAATTAAAAAAGAAAGCTACCCCCCTGGGAACGGCAAAAAAAGCAAGCGGGGGAGGGGGCCCTCCCATACTCATGAACTAAATAACGAAATACTAAGGGGGAGTGGAAGAAAAAGCAGTGAAATCGGTTTTGAGAGACCAGAGCGTGGATAAGCGCACGGGCGTATTTCAGAGACTTTAGCAAGTTTTTATAAAAGTAAACAATCCATAAAGATGGTGGGGAAGAGGGCAGAGAAAGATAAACCAGCCGGGATCATGAGACCACTGAGCTTTCCAAAATGTTGGCAGAGTCCTTGCGCCCTCTGCTGGACCAGATGACTAACAAAGAACAACAGCTGACGAATCTAAACCAGAGTTTGGCAACTCAGCAGCTCCAACTGACTGAGACTTTAAAAATAACGGAGCAAACGGCTGAGAAGGTGAAGGAAATGGACGCCAATGCCAAAAAAGTCAAGAAAAAGGTGCAAAAGCTGGAAAAGAGACAAGCTTCGGAAGAAACACAACTTTTACAGCTGCAAATGGAGAAAACAAATTTGGTTCTACAGTTTCAAGGGGTCCCAGAATCTAAAGGTGAGAATCTAAAGCAACTTCTGAGTGAAGCACTAGCCCCAGTTACAGATCTGAAAGCAGAGTATCTTGTAAGTGAAATGGATGTGGTCTATAGGTCCTATTCCGTGTACATCAAAAAGAATAATCTGCCTGGGGATATAGTGGTGAGGTTTTCAAAGCAACATGTAAGGGATTCTATCCTGAGGGCAACAACAGGAACACCCTTGAAAATCGGGGACAACACCATCAGGATTTTAAAAGACATTCCATTTGAAATAAGACAAAAGAGAAAGAAATATAAAGATCTAATCCTGTTTCTCCAAACAAACAGCATTGTTTACAGATGGTTAATTCCGGAAGGCATCATTTTCAAAATACAAGATAAAAAAGAAAAGATTGACTCTATTTCTAAAGCACGTAAGTTCCTGAGAGTCCAGCTGGGAGAGCCAGCCGGGGGCGAGAAGGAAGAAGATGACAGCAAATCCAGTGGCGAACTGGACTCAGTGTCTTCCGACGAGGACTCTCTCTCTGATAAGGGGGTGGCTGCCCCCAAGCATACATATAAATTGAGGATTAGAAAAGATAAGACAAAATGAAGGCTGAAGGAGTCTGAATTGTGCCTTTAAACTTTAGTTTTATTGGGGGATGCTCTGGGGACTCTCTTAATTGGTTAAAACATTGGATAAAAAGATAAGAAATATAGCATAGCCGACTATGTTCAAAGTAATGGTAGCATTTTAAGATTAACATTTATATAAACTCTTGTTATGATCTCCTATACTTGGGGTTTTAGTTAGTTGTGGTTTTCTTTCCTTTCTCCCTAGATGTAGTTACCCCTCCCTATTTTTCCGTTGTATTTATTTATTTATTTTATCCTTAGATTTGTATCCTGCCCTACCCCTGAGGCTCAGAGCGGCTAACAAGGACACAATGTGCCAAAATTAAAACAATAAAAACACGTAATATAAAACAGTAAAATACAATAACAAAATTAGACACAAGATGGGTAGATTAAACCTAACGGTAGCTTTATCAAAATCTATCATCCACTTCGTGCAGGGGCACCTCACCCCCCAAAGGGACCAGATAGTCGTGGTGATGGTGCGACGGTGCATAGGTGGCAATGATGGAGTACTAGTGGCGGCGGCTCCTACTCAAAGGCCTGGCAGAAGAGCTCTGTCTTGCAGGCCCTGCGGAACTGAGAAAGATCCCGCAGGGCCCGGATCTCCTCCGGGAGCTCCTTTCACCAGGTAGGAGCCGCCACCAAAAATGCCCTGGCTCTGGTCACTGCAAATTTAACATCCCCGGGGCCTGGAATTTCCAGGAGATGACAACTCCCTGACCGTAGTGCCCTTGGAGGAACATACGGAGAAAGGCGGTCCCTCAGGTAGGCTGGACCCTGGCCATAAAGGGCTTTAAAGGTAAGAACCAGCACTTTGAAGCAAATCTGGTACCCTATTGGCAGCCAGTGCAGCGCTTTCAGCACAGGCTGAATGTGGTCCCTCCTCAAGAGACCCATCAACAACCTGGCTGCAGCATTCTGCACTAGCTGCAACCTCCAGATTTGTGACAAAGGCAGCCCCATGTAGAGAGCGTTACAGTAGTCTAACCTTGAGGTAACCGTAGCATGGATCACCGTGGCCAGGTCCTCACGGCTAAGGTAGGGGACCAGCTGCCGAGCTAGCCGAAGATGATAAAAGGCTGCCCTGGCAGTGGCTGCCACCTGGGCCTCCATTGTAGAAGAAGACGAAGACGAAGACGAGGACGAGGACGAGGACGAGGAGGACGAGGAGGAAGAGGAGGAAGAGGAGGAAGAGGAAGAGGAAGAGGAGGAAGAGGAAAAGAGGAAGAGGAAGAAGAAGAAGAAGAAGAGGAGGAGG